GGAAAGACTCAGATGTTGCCTCATTCTTTGGTTTCTTGAAGGGTTTATATAAATTTAAATAATATGTTGTTTTCATATCAATAATTAATTATACAAAAATCATACAAAATCTTAAGAACATCTTAAAGCAAAAAAAAAAAAAAAAAAAAATGTGATAGATTTTCTAAAAAAGTTACCTAATCTTACACTAAATTTTGGTACCTTATAGTCGTCGTAATTACGTCGCAAATTTCCTCTACCCTACATTATTATTTTTATCATTAAAACAAATCGTCACAAATTTTCTCTACCCTTCATTATTATTTTTATCATTAAAACAAATAAAATTAGTCTATCAGCTCCACAAATTTTATTTCAAAAGCTTCTCTTCAAATTTTAAACGCGTCTATTAATGAAAAGTTCTTTTAACTCAATGATTTAATAGAAAATCTCCGTTAAAATAGAAACTTTGATGCAGTAATAAAGTTTTTTTTTTTTCGAAAATATGAACAAAACAATATTTAATTTAATTTAATTTAATTTAATATAAACAATGAAAAAAATGAGGCACTGTGGACAAGTCCTTTAATAAAATGAAGATTTTGAGAAATTTGTCATATTAGACCTTTGTCTGGTAGAAAATAGTTATGGTTGATAGTGGTAATTTACCTTGGCCCAACAAACTAATTTATTTATTTATTTATTTATTTTAGTTTTGGATGAGATTTTTAATTTAAGTATTAAATTAATTAGTTTCAGAATTTTAATTTCATTGAATTATAGTTTAAATTAAAAAGGTTCAAATTCACTTTTTGTTCTAAAGATTATTTTTACTGTTTTTTCTAATTACAGTTAAATGAGAGATTAATCGAAGTTTTAAAAGTAAGAACAAAAAATATCATATGACAATTTGGAATTCACTTCTTGCCTTGGAAAATACTATTAGAATTCAATGTTAGAAAAATCTTAATTTGAATTTGAATCCCATAGAAAAATCTTAATTTGAATTTGAATCCCATTCTATATTAACAAAATATTTGAAATTAAAAAAAAAATTCTTTAAAAAACCCGTTCTTTTGAAAATGGAGTCACCCGCTTATGACTTGACCCTGATCAGAATTGTCTAGCTCGACCTTAGTCAACACGTAGAAATACTGACCAAAGAAAACCTAAACAGGATTGTCTAGCTCGACCTTAGCCAACACGTAGAAATACTGAGAATGTTTGCTTAATTCCACCACACGTAAATGATGTGTGAAAGTTCTCTATTTATAATCAAATAAATTATAAGAATATGGAAATAGTAATAAATGGAAAGATACCTAATGGTAAGAAGACAAATATCTAAAACATTCGCCCGCAAGATGAGCGTCAGATTTGAACGAACGTGAAGCTTGGATTTGAAAAATTCGAAGAGCCGTGAAGATGTCAACAACCTAGTTTGGAGGAGACGTAGAGAAACACTTTCTTGGCCATCGAAAACTGCAGAGGGATCGTCACTCAGCGACGATGCTGCCTTGGCTACGACAAGAATATGTCTAACCCATGAAGAGGGATCGTCGCTCAGCGACAATGCTGCCTTGGCTCTGATGAGAATATGTCAACCTAAGAAGTAGAAGGAAAAACCTAGAGCAAGGGACAAAGACAATGTTAAAGTCAGAAGAGTCGCCACAGTGGACGAAGGAGCCAATTTTGACGAGAAGGGTGGCGGCGACTTGGTTGGCCCAGATTCCAAAGGTAAATCTCTGCAGAAGGTCGATGGACTTATCGAGATTCCATATTTACGAAGAGAACGCTGATGAGGATCTTGAGATTAGGGTTTTTGTGAACGATGAAGGGAAGATTGGGAAGAAAATGAAAGAGGCTATGTTAGTCAAGGAAAAATGTGAGGTTGTATGTATAGAGTATGGTGAATGGTGATTTGGAGGTCGAAATGGTGGAGCCGAAGAATAATCAATCGGCTCCGCATGTGGCAGCCATGGAGACTGCCTTACACTGTCAAAGAATAATAGAAGATTCAAAAGCCATTGAAAAGAAAGGATCGAGATTACTAAACCAAACGGGCACTAGATCACGATTGCTTGAACGTTCTCTGGTGGCCATAGAAAACATATAATAAAACTTGAACTTTATTCAACTTGATCGAGAGACTTAATCCAAGACTTATTAATTGTTTGAAACGACAATTCAATTAGAAAGACCTAGAAGCTCATACATGCCCAACTTCGGTCTCGAACTCATGTTCAAAGGCTATTGGAAGGCCCACCGGATTTTGTTTTAATTCGGGGCTTGCACCAAACGCAAGGCGACGTTCCATTCAAATATAATAACGTGGTTACGTGGCTTTTGAGCACAACCAATCAACAGCTTTCATTTTACACGTGTCATCTTTTGGATGGTCCACTTCTAACCCCAACTTTTCGCCCAAAAAAAAAAAAAAAAAACAATGATAATTAAAAGGAAAAAAAAACAAAAATAAATAAAAATAAAAGGCACATGACTTGCGTGTGACGGAAGATCCCCTCGCCACCATTTAGCGGTCTTGCAAGCGAAGCAATTAGTATTTGCGTTTTGCAAGCTTTAATGTCTTCGGCTTTCAAGAATTATGCAAAAATCATAATTAATTTTAGTAATTAATTTATATTAAATTAAATTAGTCTCTTTAAGACAAGAGCACCACCGACAGTCACTAACCACAGTTAGCTCAGCCGACTCAATCTGCACCTCTTTGGGAATTCAGTTGCGCCAGGTCATGACAAGCCACTTTGTCCCCATTCCTTTTAAAGGAGGCTCTAATATTATAACTTTGTATTAAACTTTTGTTCAAATTACAAAAAATAATGTAATTTTAACGCGAAAACCCGTGTCAAGATAAGGACTAAACTATGGATCAAGATCAAAATTAAAAAAATCCACCAAGTGGGTTACAACAATTATCTTGAGATAATAAACTCCGACAAGAAATGACAAAAACACGAGAAAAAATTAGAAAGTTCTAACTGGCATCCAATTACCAAGGGTAACATAACTATAAGTAAATTCAAAACAAATTGAAGCGGCTACAAATCAACCTACAAATGGTTGGAAAAGGCTTAAACCAGCCAGCTTTTTTTCTATGTTCTTTCGCTTTTCTCGCTTCTTACTGAAAAGTTCAACATGCTCGTATCTAGGTCGGGGTTAAAGAGGTCAAAACCACCATGCCTATGAGAGAATACACATAAATATAGAACCGGCTGGTAATGGACCTACTTACCTTACTTGTGGATTTCCAGTCTCATTGTCACTCAACAATACAAGAGTAGAGTTGTTGAGGATTATTGGGAGTGAGTTCCGCATTGGCTAATTTAGGAAATGATAATGGGTTTATAAGTGAAGAAATACATCTCATTGCTACCAAGCCTTTGGGGAACTTCAAAACAAAGTCATGAGAGCTTACACTCAAAGTAGACAATATCATACTATTGTGGAGATTCCTGATTTCTAACCAGCAGAAGGATAGAGGCAATTAGAAAATATTGTTTAAATAAAACCAATATACTTATATCCTCACTTAACTTAAAAAAGGTCACGAAGAATATTCTAATTTTGAAAAAAACTTTATAGTTTTATAAAGATGATTAAATGACATTGAGTGACACATTTCCTTCGTCACCCATTTTTTAAAAGGTGAAAAAATCATCAATTTTTGTTTCTTTTTGGTGAAACTAATTAATAATGGGAAGTAATTGAATTAGTTTGGTGACAGACAGCACGAAATAAATGGATGCTCCACTTTTTATTTTATTTTATTTTATTTTAATTTATTTTAATTGTTTAATTTACCCTTTGAGTGCTTCATTCAATTTATATCATGATTGCTTCACTTAGAGGATACAAATCCTCCAATTAACTCATTTTTACAGCCACCCTAATAAAAGCAACGTTTCTACAAAACAATGCCTTACTTATTTCAATTTCATTATAATTTTATCACACAATCATTTTATTTTTTCATTTTAATTTATAATAATTTTTAATTCGGTAACAATTTTGATACCATTTGATATTTAATTTATAATAATTTTTAATTTGATAACAATTTAGACGTTGTTTAGCTAACTTTCTTGCCAAATAATAATATTATTTTCTAATTTATATATTATAATACTCACTCTTCATTACCAATTATATAAGGGCCAAATGTAAATAGTGGAACAACAAACCCCTTAAAAGAATATATTAAAAATTACGTCTATTGCTATTTAGCTTCATCATTCAACGCTAAAGTGCGAGAAATACCCTAAAAAATACATTAAAATTTACGTCTATTTATATGTAGAAGGGCCAAAGTGCAAATAGTGGAAGAATAAACCCCTTAAAAAGAACACATCAAAATTTACATCTAATTTCGCTCAATTGTAGGAGGACTAAAGTGCAAATAGTGAAAAAAGAAACCTCTTAAAAGAACACATCAAAATTTACATCTAATTTCGCTCGATTGTAGGAGGACTAAAGTGCAAATAGTGAAAAAAGAAACCTCTTAAAAGAACACATCAAAATTTACATCTAATTTCGCTCGATTGTAGGAGGACTAAAGTGCAAATAGTGAAAAAAAAAACCTCTTTAAGAACCCATCAAAATTTACATCTATTTATTTTTAACTCCCTTGTGGAAGGGCCAAATTGCAAATAGTGAAAAGAATAAATCCACTAGAAAGTACATTAAAATTCACATCCAAATTGGTCACGGCTTTTAAACCAACGGCATATATCCAAATCCAACACATGCCAGCGTTTCGTTTTGCCATGCCATCATTAAGTAGGCAGACCCAAACCAAATCTGCCCCAATCCCCACCCATAAGCTCGACACGTGGCAATCTCTCCGTAGAGAAATTGTCAACCCTTCTAAAAGACAGAACAACCCAACCAATAAAACCAACCCTTTTTACTATAATCCAACCTTTTTGGTAATTTCACTCTCTCTCTCTCTATATATATACACACAATAACCCCTTTCGTTTTTCAAACCCATCCTACTCATCTACCCATCAAGCTTTCTTTTCTTCAACCAAATGGACTGGACTAGACGCCACGTCATCGGTCACGGCTCCTCCGCCACCGTCTTCCTTGCCACGGATTCTTCCTCCGGCGACGTTTTCGCCGTCAAATCCGCTGAGATTTCACACTCGCAATCTCTACAAACTGAGCAACGGTTTCTTTCTTCTTTAGCCTCTCCGTACGTAGTTTCTTATAAAGGGTGTGAGGTCCGGAGAGAACAGAGTGGGGTCGTGATGTTCAATCTTTTCATGGAGTATTTGCCCAACGGTTCGCTTGCCGACGTAATTCGCCGCCGTGGAGGACGGCGGCTCGACGAGGCGGCAATCGGAATTTACACGCGGCAGTTACTACAAGGCCTACAGTACATTCATTCCAAAGGCTTGGTACATTGCGACATTAAATCCCGAAACGTTTTGATCGGTCGAGACGGTGAGGCTAAATTGGCCGATTTCGGGTGCGCCAAGTGGGCAAGCCAAACAGACTCAATTGGCGGCACGCCGCTGTTTATGGCACCAGAAGTGGCTCGTGGAGAGCACCAAGGGCTACCCTCTGACATTTGGTCCATTGGGTGTACGGTCATCGAAATGGCCACCGGCGGCGGCTCACCCTGGCCGAAAACAACCAGCGACACCGACCCAATTTCCGCTCTGTACCGAATTGGGTATTCCGGCGAGTCGCCGGTAATTCCATCCTGTTTATCCCACCAAGCAAAGGATTTTGTTGAGAAGTGCTTAAGAATGAATCCAAATGAGAGATGGACAGCCAATCAGCTTCTAAATCACCCATTTGTGGGGGAATTCACTTCATCCCCAAAGAAAATCCATGAAGTTCATTCGAATTCTCCAACGAGTATTCTAGAACAGGGCGTTTGGAGATCCATTGAAGAAAGTGAAATCAGAGAAGCCAAATCGTGTAGACCCAATAGTTGGGCAGCAGAGCAGATCCGACGGCTGTGGATGGCCTCAGGAGAGCCGAGATGGAGAGATGATGAGAACTGGATTACAATTCGAAGACAGGACATTGGAAAAAGCAAAGAAGTCGGTGACGAAGGCGACACGATTGGTGGGTCAGAAGTGAAAGGCTGTAGTAATAATTGTTGGGGTGAGAAACAGAGTGGCGGTGGCGGCAAGGAGTGGTCGGAAACGGAATTCACACAGAATAACGGTGGCTTTAGCTGCAGAATTAGTAGGAATGATTTGGCAGACCATCGTTGTAAGAACATTATTAGTCTTGTACATAATAATAATAATAACAATAATAATAATAATAATCCTTCAACTTTTCATACTCATACACCTAAATTTCTTCCTCTAATGTCAATTTTATTATGAAATTCAATTCAATTCAATTCAATTCCTCTCTCCCTTCTCTTTTATTTATTTTTGTGTCTCCCGATTATTGTCGTAGATGGGTACTTCCTAATCTTTGATACGATTACATTAATTAAAATTTTGAATAAAAAATTTCTAAGAGATAAGAGACGAGACGTGTTTATAAAATTTGGTCAATTGAAGAACCCTATGAAACTCAATTTTGTAATATCAATTTGTTTGGGTCGGTATGAATTAAGTTGCTTCATGAGCTCACCTAAAACTAATAGAACGACTCCATTGTTAAGAATTACAAACCCTCCTCAGACTATTCTTCTCAATAATTCTCAATATTTACCGTAAAAAAATAAATAAATAAGAGAGAGTGGGAGAGAGGCGAGTTAGGGTTAATGAAGGAATGGCCTAACTCCCATCCACCGTCGGTTGAAGATTAAGAAGAGGCCATGCCATGTGTAACTTAATTACTACTCATTGCCCAACATCCTATTTTGTCTCTTCTGTGCCTTTTTTTTTTTTTTTTTTTAATTTAATTTTTTACATTATTTTAATTTTAATTTTGCCAAATGCTAACTCACCTTTGGTTGGCGTCCACGCATCTCCCCTGCCTCCACGTTGCCTTTATCAAACCTTTTCTTTTTCCTTTTAAATAATTTTATGGAGTTTCATGTTCCTTTCTTTTTAGCACTTTTCATTTTAAATACCCACTTTTTACTCAGCTAACTTTCAAAACTTTTTTTACTTTTTTTAAATAGCCTATATATTTTTAATTCTTATATAGTAAATTCTTTAATTTTTCTTAAAATTTAGTCATAAAATTATAAATCTATTAAACACAAAATTAAATATAAATTTTGAAATTAAATAAAGATTTTAAATACAAAAATAAAAAATAAATATGAGATTAAGAAGTCACGAGACTTATTTAGGGTGGTTGTGCGCCACCGCATACCATAAAACCATTCAAATATTAATCCATAGTATAGGGAGTACCTACTAAGCATTCCATCATACATTGGATGGCTCCTGTTCTTCCACGTGTACCTCATCTATTGGCTCTCTCTCTCTCTCTCTCTAAATTCTAAAATTATTCTATTTACCTACCACAATTCCATAATTATCTCATTTAAAAAAACGAAAGCAAATTCTTTTAATTATTCACACATAAATATTAAAAAAAAAATCCATATTTAACTTTAATTAAATAATTTTTGCCATATAATTTTAAATAATTAAGTATTTATTTTCCTTCCCATATTAATGTTGTGGTAATTAAAACATTTAAAAGTTATATTGGACCCCTCCAATTTATGAGCACTCAATTTTTCAATAAAATGTTACAATTAAAAGGTGCCCTTAAATTAAATTCATTAATTGATTGTGAGTAATGTCCTAGTTTTAGACTACTAAAGAATTAATCTACCCTAACGTATTGAAATTCACAATTTATGCATTTTTTTTTAATTTCTATAATAAATATTTAGAGTTATTCTGAAAATATGAAATTGAAATTAACTTATAAAACCATATTTATTATTTTTAGAATTTTCCCTAATATATATAAATTAATAATGACGTATAGGATTGGCTAATCATAATTCAATGAATAATTAATACGAAGGAATAATGGAATAATTATTTAGATTAATTACATTAGTTATTAAACAAATACCTTTTTATTTAATTTCTTGCATAAACATTTCCGGTTACTAGTAATGTTTGACAGTGACGTTGAACTGAACGACGGTGTAGCCGTTGGGAATGTCGGTGACGACATTCTTACCGACGGCGAACCCTCTGGCGAACCGGAATTTGCCGGTCCCCGACACCACGCCCAGCTCTCTAACGCCTTCGAATTGTCGGCTCGTTCCTTGAATTTCGATGCTGCTCCCATCCTTGAACCCAAGCGATAGAAGCACTAGCAAATTCCGGCCGTCCGCGGCCGCCACGGCGTATATTCCCTGAGCTCGCCCGAGCGGCGTCGAGTTGGGATTTGGGCTAGCGGTGATCGGGTCGTCGGTGACGAAGATGGTGCCGAATTCGGTGAAGTTCCAGGGCTTCCCGGCGATTCCGGCGACTGGGATGAAAGTGGGGTTTGGGCCATTGGCGAAGTCCTGTAAGTAGAGAATTAGATTGGTCTGTTTCAGCTTGGCATTGGCGGCGGAAATGGCGGCCGTCGCGAGAATTAGAACCATGGAAAGCTTGGTTATGAAGTGCGCAGCCATTTGTGGCGGAGGGAATTGAGAAAGGGAGTTGGATTGAGTTAGTTTTTATTGTGGTGAAAATGGTTTTATTTACAGCTGGATTTGGCCGTTTCTTTTGTATAATATATGGTTAAAAGTATGGAATAAGTTTATGTATTACATAACGTTTTAATTTAACCAAACTTTACATTAAATATTCACATATGATTACTTAGAAAAATATGATAGTTTTAATTTTAATAAAATATGTTTTATTTCAAATTTTTTTGTGGGTTAAATTTCAATTTTCTAATTTTTATTGTTGAATTTCATAGTCAATATGTAACATATATATTTAAATTAATAATTTTTTAATCTAATATTGTTTCGTGTATCAATCGGTCAAGCAATTGGGTGAAAGATTTAATTTCATTTCTCTCAAGTTTAGAGCTTTTCTTTTCTTTTCTTTTAATTGTTTGAGATTTGGTTGAAGATTTTGTTAATGTTATTAAAATTTCATATAAATAAAATATTTTTAGATAATTTTAATTTTATTAATAAGTTAGATTATTAAAATAATTTTAATTAATTAAAATTTAATTTAATTTTCATTTATGTTGAGTTTATTTTATAATAAATTTTATTAATGATGTACAATTTATGTTTAAAAATTAAAAAAAATAAAAAAGTCCTACAAAAATCACATTTATAAATCTTTGAAATAAAAGAAAAATTCTAAGAGAAACAAAAAAGAATAAGGTAGCGAAAGGTCAAGTGAAGTTATTTTCTTCTTTTAATAGTCTTGGAAGATTCCGAACAAGTTTAGTGGATGGGCAGATCGAACAGAACCCTGTCAGTTATGACTTTAGGGGACGGTGCCTAAACTAATTCCCGATCTTCTTTCAAAAGTGGTGATGTAGGCAGATATTAGCTTGACAGTCCCTGGTCGAATCTAAATAGTAGCAGGAGGACTTAAGTGTATGTTCTGGAATAGGGATGTTCATCTTTTGTAACAAGTAACAAGTAGACCCATGATACGGACTAATAGATGTTCATACTCTTGCTCGAAAGTCAGATATCTATATCATAGTTAGCAAGTGCATTTGATGAAAAAAAAAAACGAAAGTAATTTAAAGTTAATGGTGAAACTTATGAGTTTGGAAAGATTTGTTAAGGTGTCTATTTTGTGCATCGATAGAGTTTAGTTTTGTGTAATATTTGTATTTTCGACCTTTATATTTCTCCGCATATGTGAGATGCCACATCCGTCGGGAGTAGAATTAAACACTTTTTATAAGAGTGTAGAAATCTCTCCCTAACAAATAGCAGACGTCAATGATTCAACGATGAAGTGTTGAATGAATAGCCTTTGCGCCTATGAAGTTGCAAGTACCAAAATCAATTGGCATTGGATCACATTGTCATATACAATGTAATTACATTCAAAAGACATACTACAAACAAACAAACCAAACAGCCATGGAAAGTAGTCTTAAATGGATTAAGCAAGCTCCCACTTTTAATATCCCACCTTAAATTTCATTTCACTGATACAGACAGACCCAGCTAACCAGAGGCACTTCGATTAAGAGCGAGGCATAAACGCATGATTTTCTTAAGCCTCCAACGACACGATGCGAAAAGGATTTAATGACAGCCTCTAAATGCATCACCAGATTATGAAGAACCATGTTCGATCGACTCCAACTGATTCCGAATATTCTGATTGTCCTCCAACAACCGATCGTACTCGAGCAGGTACTCCTCAGATTGCTTTCTTAAGGCTTCTGTTTCTGCTTCTGCAGCATTTGCTTCTTTTGTTTTTGCCTCAACTTCAGCTTCCAGTTTGGTTATTTTACTCCTCAAGGTAGTTGCCTCTTCTCCCAGGGATTTAAGCTTCTCCGCGCTTGCATCCTCTGATGCTCGAATTTGCTTCTTTGCGACCTCCATGGTCTTTCGGAGCAGTCGAAGCTCTCGGATGTAGTGATGTAGTCTATCAATCATCAGGGCAAGGAACAACAAAAACCCTGCAGAACATACATGTTATATTCAAATCTAACATGAAGTACTCAAACTAATGGGAATGAACTGCAAAATTGCAAGCAAATGGAAAAACAAAACAAAATCTCTCGTAGAACAACAATAAGATATAGATTATCAAACAAACAAAATCTGATAAGAACAACAAACTTAGGCAACATTTGATAATCATTCTTATAAACTTTACTTTCACCTATTGTTTTCATGCTCTATTATCTATTTTTTTAAAATGTTTTCAAAAACCAAACTAAGTTCTTCAAAACCTGATAGTTTTTGAACTTTGGTTTAGAATTCAAATGGGTTAATAAGAAAGGTGAAAAACTTATCGAAATCGTAATCAAATAGGGCGTCCCGCTTCAAAATTGAAGGCCATATCACATCTGTTGACATCAACTATTAAGAATGATATTGTTTTCAAACGCTCCTACTGATTTTCCTTCAAATTACTCTGTTAATACATGATATGATGCACAAGCAGGATTCCATCCCCATGAGTAAAGCACCAAATCCATTCGCATTTATAAGGATTTATCAGTAAACTCCGTTTATATGTAAAATTTTAAGCAACCTAGAAGCATGCGAGCATGATTTTAGATTTAATACATTGTTCCTGACAGAAGAAAAAGCCCAAACGAAGTGGAGTGAACAGCAGCTCAGTTTTAGGAAAATGTTTAATGTCACATCACAATCATTGAATCGAACAAGATCTCCCGCCCTTTCGTCGAATTCTGGAGTTAATTTGAAAGAAATGAATCCAGTTCTGTCGGTTCTAACTAGCCC